ACCTAAATCTAACCCTAACCCTAACCCTAACCCTAACCCTAACCCTAACCCTAACCCTAACCCTAAGAATATATATAGGTACTAGGGGTAATTATTCCTTAATATATCTAACTTAGTTAATTCCTATTCTATTTTTACCTTGTCTATAAGCTTAGATTCTTCTATAGTTATATATAATCTTTCTATGTCCCTATCTATAGGTTTATAACTTATAGTAGCTTTATCTACTTATAGTTCCTAGGGTTTAGGTCCCTAAGTGTTGTCCTACTATTTATCTTATATATTGTATTCTATAAGCTTGTATTTTAACTATATAGTAGCTTCCTTAGAGGTATAGTTTACTCCTTAGAGCTCCCTTCCTTATAGGTACCTAAGGCAACACCTTATAGTATAAACTATAACTTTCTAGTCTTATTAAGTACCTATCTATCCTATTAGGGGTAGTAGTATAGGAATTACTTAGGGAGTTCCTTTATAGAGTATACTTTACCTATAGATATCTACTACTTCTAGTAGGTTCTCCTTAAAGGTAATCTCCTTTATATCTTCTTTAAACTCTTTTAGCTAGAGTTTCTAAGATTCTATTAATCCCTTGTTTAGGAGTTTGTTCTTAACTTTAAGCAATATGTTAAACTTATTAAGATCCTTATTATCTAAGCTTTACCCTTTTAGGGTACTAATACTATTAATTCCCTAATTAGGTTTATTTGTAAATGTAGCGTTTAGTTGTCCTTTCTAGGTAGCATTAAGCTACTTTCTAAACTTATACCCTTTATTCCCCTTCCTTAGTTATTTATAGTCTTAGGCTAAGTAGCTAGGCTTATTATAATTAAAGTACAATTATTCCTTAATTTACTTTTCCTTTTAGGGGTTATAGGGTCTTTTGTTTTTAAATGTAGCATTAAGTTCTATAAGATCTAACTATCTATTATCTTATTAGTAGTTGTCTTATCTTTAGCCTTTGTTCTTTTAGTAGCTATTATACTTCTTTAGTTTATTATAGTTCCTTTTTTCTTTCTAGAACTTATATAGCTAGTTATTGATTTAGACTATATATTTAATTAGCAACACTATATCTATAGGCTAATTCTCTATTTATATAAGTTCTAGGTAGATATAACTCTTTAAGCTATAGTAGTAGTAGCTAATAAGCGCTTTTATATCCTAGTAGGTTTAGTTACTATACCTTTAGAATTTAGTAGAGTACGTTAATATGCTTCCTATCTGTTTTAATAGGTATAGGTAGTCCTCTATAGTCTGTTAATGTTACTAAATATACATTATATTTCTTTCTTAAATCCCTTTTATTTACTAAAGATAATGTTAGTTATAGCTATTATACTTATTATATCTTTATAAGCAAAGTAGTCTTTAAGGAATAGTTTAATCTATTAGAGGGCTTCTCCTCTTAGGTAAGAGGCTATCTATATAGTATAGCTTTTAGTAGTAGGAAACTTGTTATTGTTAAAGTGTTAATATAGCTTAACCTATAGTAGGAACACTTTAAGTTCCTTTCTATTACTAGAGAACATATTAGGGAGCTTAACTTAAAGAGTCTCCTTAAGCTCTAACATAATAGGTAGTACATCTAGTATCTCTTTATTCTTAAGTAGGATGTTTTATAATAACTATAGGGTTAGTATATTAAGTTGTCTAATAACACTCTCTCTTAGGCTTAGAACATTTAGAGCTATAGTTACTTTAGTGTATAAGCTAGTACCTTATAGAAGTAGTGCTTAAAGTGTAATGCTAGGTCTTAAACTTATAAGACTTATAGAGGTTTTGTTACATTAGTTTACTTAATAGAGAAGGTAGGGGATTAGATACTAAAGGCTTTTATAAAATACATTATAGTATATAATAAATACTATATTAAGTTAAGCACAAAGCTCCTATCTAAGAAATAACTATCTACTTATATAGTAGTGTTATACTAAAGGGGATAGTTAGAATAGTAGACTCTTTAACTATTCTTACTATTCCTACTATTCTAATTATATATATATTCTATAAGAGGTGCTATACTTATTGTAGATACTAATTCCTATAGGTGCCCTTTTAAAGAGGCACCTTACTCTATATAAGTGCCTTTCTTAATAAGCACCTCTCTTTTACTAGGTACCTTCTAAGAAAGGTACCTTTTCCTAAAGATGCCCTTATTAACTAAGCTACCTATAATCTCTATGTCTATTTCCTACTACTAATTAGCTATAAGCTATTTTACCTTATTACTCCCTCTTATAGCATATAGGTTGTATGTTTTAGCTATAAAATACTTTTAGTAAAGGGGTAAGACTGCCTAGAGATCCCTAAGTAGTTATAACAACTATTAAACTAGCTAGCTTTATAATTTAGATTATAGAGAGTCTAGTGTAAGTAGAGCCTATATAGACAAAGACTATAGGCGCTTACTTAAGCTATTATAGCTTTATACTAGCTTTAGATTTAAGGAAGGGAAGGGGAAGGCTAAGGTAGACATTAAGCACTACTATAGCTGTTACTGCTAAAACCCTATATGTCGTTGCATCCTCGTTGTTAACTCCCTTAGGTATCTTCTATGCTAAATCACCATTAATCTTTAGGTATTTAGCAAACGCCCTGTAGTCGTAGTACATGCTACATGTACAACGCCTGCTACGCGATCGCCCTGCCTCTATCCCCCCGGCGCTGACTTACTGACCTCGACGACCTCGCTAGCGTAGTCACAACTAATGATACGATTTGAGGGGGCTATAAAGTCAATATGCATAAAGTCGGTTAGGTTGAGGCCGACTGCGTAGACCTTGCCGAGTCCTAGGTTGGCTAATCGCGTGGCAATGATTCGATTTGAAACTAGAGCTCTTATTGTGGCTGCGTGAATACGTACGGATCGGATGAAGGCTTTGATGAAAAATTTAGAAGAGACTGTAATGAGAGGGGATCTCGTGTTGGAGAAGTGACTAGGTGGCGCAAGTCCATTAAGTGCATTAGAAATAGCTTCGTCATTTGTCTAAACTCGTCGAACCGGCCAACGGCGCAACAATTGTGCCGTTAATGATTAAGAATCATGTTGCATCACTTGCTAGTATGTTTCTTAAAATTTAGAACCACTTATATTTTTGATGGGCGAGGTCGTTATTAGGTCATTAGGTATAGCCCATCATTACTTGAGACATACGATTACTGATCGCCCCGATATGTATTAAGCGATTAGTAATTGCAAGTCCTAAGCCGTTAATGTGCGACTGCCGATTGGTATGAGAGCCAATCTGTCTAGACTTTAGTAGGAAATCTAGAGTTTGATATCGGGAGACGCATTGTACCGACTGTCCGCATGCGAATGCTTAATTTCGGTTTTCGGTTCGTTACCATAACCATCTGGTCCGAATGGGCCCGCGATGTAATGAGCAGACAGCATCACCCGGCTGAAGGTGGCGGTTACTAAGCCAACTGGAAGAATATCGAATTATTCAATCGCCTGATCCTGTCAGAAGGAGGTGTCTGCTTTAAAAAGAGAAAGCCTTCACTAAAGGACCCATTAGATAAACCTTAGTTCCACATCCTATATCTTACAGTTCCATTGCAATCATGACTTCGATCTCAGCAATCCGCGCCCAGTTGCAGCCCATTCCCCTTCCTACGCAGTCATTCGCAGACCAGACAATCATCGTCACAGGATCCAACACTGGCCTCGGTTTTGAAGCGGCGCTACACTTCGTACGACTCAATGCGGCGCGAGTAATCCTTGCAGTGAGATCTGTAAAGAAAGGCGATGACGCAAAAGCCTCTATTGAAACCTCCACGAACCGCAAAAATGTTATCGAGGTGTGGCAGGTCGACATGTCCGACTACGATTCCATTAAAGCCTTTGCAACAAGGTGTGATTCGCTGGACAGGTTAGACGCTGTCATTGCAAATGCAGGTGTTTTGAGAAACACTTACGAGGAGTCTGATGGGACCGAGATTACCATCAAGGTGAATGTTATCGGGACGTTTTTGCTTGCAATCAACCTCTTTCCGGTTCTGAGGAGATCAGGAGCAAAAGTCGGAAAAGCATCTAGGCTAGTGGTCACAAGTTCTGTCATGCACGAAGAAGTATGTCTCTCTAGACTCTCGGGTTGGTCATTTTAAAAGTTAATCATTAATAAATAGGCAAAATTCCTAGAGCGAAAAGAACCCTCGATTTTCCAAGCGTTTAACAAGAACAAGAAGTCGTACATCGGAGATCGATACAGCACCTCTAAACTCCTCGAAGTTTTTCTAGTCCGTTCCTTAGCCGCAGCTATTCGGAAAGGTCCTCACGCCACAGAGCCCTTGATTCTTAATGATGTCAACCCAGGTTTATGCCATTCGGAACTCGATAAGGAAGCTAAGGTAATCACGGATTTCTGGCTATTCTTATTCTCACTCTTGAACCCAACGCTGACCTTGTTGATTAATCATAGGGAATCGCTAGCTATATCCTCTCAGTCGCCAAAGCCCTGATGGCTCGAACAACGGAGGTTGGAGGCCGTACGCTTGTTCACAGTGCTGCTGCTGGGACCGAAAGTCACGGGCAATACATGAGCGAAGCCAAGGTCAAGGAGCCGAGCACGTTTGTCAGGAGCGCCGAGGGAGCCAAGACTCAAGAACGTGTGCATAAGGAGTTGATGGATATTCTGGAGACGATCCAACCAGGGATCACTGACAAGATATAATTAGGGGGTTTCTAGGCGTTGTTGCGACGACTAGAGTAGTAATTCTATTTAACGATGTGACGGCTAGGAGGCTGCTGAAAATGGCAGCTTTCGTCGCTGTTTTACGTAGCTTACTTGCCTACTTTTCAATACTCCCACGCCCTAAACTTAATCGCCGCACACCTATTGTGCCTTAGGTTCATACACAACTGCTAAAAGACACTTTCTAAGAAAGCATGTTAGAATTAATCTAACTTCCCTATAAAGATCTATATAACTTAGTCTACACCTTTAGGAAAGTGACTTACTCTACTACATAGGTAGTAGTGATTTGTGCCTATTAACCTATGCACTAGTAAGGTAGTATATACACATATAAATCAATTCCGGTTATCTATTTCAAAGCCATCACGCGCTTTCAAAATGGTAGATGTCTTCTAGCAATCGATCCGGCAGGCACGATCCCTACAAACACTGCGAGTACCACTGATTCGACACTTTACATGTATACCCACTCGCGCAGACCGTCGGTCCCGTCCATCCTTGCCCGCCACACTGATCCCAGTGAGCAGCCGTTCCGCCATTGCCTGTCCCCGTCCCAGGGTTCGTGGGAGTTCCGCCGCCACTCGGATTCCCCAATCCCGCGCCAGGATTGACTCCAGTGACCGGATTGTTGCCTGGCAGAGCAGCGAGCCCTATACAGTCAGCGAGAACAAGTAGAACCAAAGCACACTTACATCCGTCCACCTCCTCGTTGACAGAGCGAGCCTTTGAGCAGGCATTCCCCGCGGCGATCGACTGCTCCGAGAGCGCGGCACAGGGCCCGGGCTGGCAGTTGGTGTCCATGGCCTGCTGCAGCGACGTATCCTTCCAGCCAAAGACATAATCGCCATGCGTTCCGTAGCCGGTCGGGTCACCATAACTCCAGATGAAAGGCTGGCTGCCGTCTGAGGGCCAGAGGGCTCTGTCATTGTAGGGCGTCGTGTCCCATATGACCTCGTAGAAGAGCTGTGGGAGCTTGACGGGGTGGGATGCTGGACAAGGTCCGTTGCTCTCAAATGTCCCGCTAGATGGGTAGGCGACATGGGTCGTGTGGTCTGCGCTGTCAAGGTTGACTCCGTCCCAGCATCTTATCTGTTAGCCAGCACAACAAAGAAGAAGAAGACTCACGTCGGAAACCTGACGTTGGACATGATACCAGCAGGACACGGCAGCACTGGCATATTCGTTGTCTCGCCAGTCCTCGTCGAAGCGTCCTGTAGACATGTAAATGTGAGCTGGCGGTTCTTTGATGATTCAGCAGCAGTCCGGTACATCGGGCTGCCGACGACCATGCGGAATCCCTTCTTGAAGGCAGTGACCTTGCTCCCATCGTATGGTTGGGAGTAATAGACAGTCATGCCGCCCTTTGCCGACTCAAAGCCTTGGTTCCCCTTTTGCTTGACGCGGATGAAGCTTCCGTTTCGGGCTTGAAAGTACAGCGTTGCAGTCCAGTAGTTGGAGAAGTCTTGCGTGAAGGTGCAGGTGGTGCAGGTAGATGCAGTCGGGAGATCAATCGCCGGATCCATGGTGGCGTTCATTGCATTCTAAAAAGTAAGCGGCGAAAATTATCAGGGCAAAACACTCACCCCTCCAATAAACTAAACTGTCAGCATGATTCATAAAAGGGACAGGCGACTAACCTGGTGAACATGAGGCGACGGAATACTCCCAGGAAAGACCAGGCTACCAACGTCAGCAGGATCCACAACACAGAAAGGCTTCATACGGATCCAGACGCTCAGTCACCAGCTCCGAGCAGGAGAAACGAAGAATGGCATGGACGCTTGGCGCAAAAGCCGCGAGGAGAACTGTCCACTGCATCTTGAATTCTATGGAGATGGGACGAAAAGTGAGAACGAAGCATCAGGCCGGCCCTCCTTATAAGCACTTTGTTTGATGAGAAGCTTATTCCCACGTGCTGCCAGGTCTTAATCCCCGCATTAATCAAGAGTGCCGGAGAATAAAGGCTAAACGGTTAATCGTTCGGAGGCTTAAATGGAGATCTTATATCTCCCTGATGGGAAACGTGTCGGCGGATAAGATACCATACAAATTAAAATCGAGTCACAGGATAGACGCAGCTTCTCGAAGAGGACGGTTTGACGTTGGATGGCTTGATAAAATCCATTTCACATATCGGCCTAAAGGAAGGCTGTCCTCGACTTCAAGCGCCTGACTTGATATAATATTCTGAGATGGATTTGTATCCGGCTGCTTTCCCATGGTCGCCGAGGAAGTTTGAGAATCCAATGAATCCACGCTTATTAGGCACGGGAAAGCGCTCCGTAAAAGAGCTGTCATTTAAGAGAATGCTTCCGACTATGAGAATGAAGCCGGCGAGGATGATTTAAGAAGTGATAACGCCACATATTACCATCCGGCTATGTGGAGCCGAAGCTGCAGTACCGCTTTAGGTTTATTAAAAGAGTAATCCCGGCATATTCCCGCACGGGACATCCTTCCCCACAAACAAGAAGCAGGCCAAGCTTTCCAACTTCTCCAAAGAGTAAGTGGCACTTTCTAACCTGCCATCCGGATAATGAGAGGCAAATAGTTTAGACAGAATGGGACGAGCCACGTCTCTTTACAACCCTATTCGAGACCAATATTACACATAGGCTAATGAAATCTTTCATATATCAAACTTACAGGCTGAAGCCGGGCAGATGGCAAAGGCATCATTTGGCAATTTGGCAATGCCTCACATGTCCGGTCCGTAGTGAACGGGCTCGCAATCCGAAGTCGCTCTCGTCCTGGGATGCGCTTACAGACATGCTATTAAATGCTCACGCCGAAAAATTCACCCGTAATTCCTGACGCCGTATAATACTCACGCCATATGATGCCCTCGCCGCCGCCACGGTCGCTTGGCCGTGCGCGCTTACGCTGTGGTGAAGTTCTCACTGTGTCGGATGCGCGCTTACGCTATTCTCACGCCGCGAATGCACTCGCAGTCTCTCATGTTATGTGGTTGCTCATAGAACGCAGACTGCCATGAGCAGTCGTCGATGTTGTGGAGATACTCCCTCCACATGACCCGCCGCCGCATCGTCCCGCATTCTACCCGCCATCACTCCCTTCCCCACCTGCCGCCTTCCCCGCTTCGCCTTCTCCGCCTCATAAAGCATCGAGAAATCAGACCTACATGGTGTGATCGGAATCTTGTCGAATAAGATCGTGCGACGATCCTAGCACTCATACAAGGTTTGGCCGTTTTATGATCCTGGCTAGCGCTTACGTTCCAAAGAGTAAACCTCGCCGTTGGCGCAATCGTTCCCCTCAAACTGACTCGTACACAATCAAGCCATCATGCCTTCACCAGTCGCTCAGAGCCCGCCTAAGGCGGAGGAAGCCGAGGCCGTAGCCCATCAAGCTGAGACAACCATTGAAGTCGGCGGATCTGAGAGTGACACCGGGTACGAAAGTGAGTGGGCATCGAGTGTGTCAACGTCGGTATCATCGAGCGTGCGGGATTACACTTTTGAAAATGGGCGGCGATACCACAAATATAGCGAAGGCAGATACCTGTTCCCCAACGATGAATCGGAGCAGGAGCGTGAGGATATGAAGCATGCGATGGTTCTTAACCTCTGTGGCGGACGACTACATTATGCGCCACTAGATAACCCACAGAGTGTTCTAGATATCGGGACTGGGACGGGAATATGGGCTATTGACTGTGAGTCAGCCATAGACATCTCTTTCAATACTAACGCGTCCAGTTGGCGATGAGTATCCAAGCGCATCGGTTTTGGGAGTCGACTTGAGCCCTATCCAACCCTCTTGGGTCCCCCCAAACGTGAAGTTCATGGTAGATGATGCCGAGAGCCCTTGGATATACCCTATCAACAACTTCGACTTCATCCATCTACGCCATTTAGCCTCTTCCCTCAAGGATACGCCAGCGTTGATAAACCAAGCAATGGTGTAAGTGCTCTCGTCGCTCGGCGTCAATATCTAACATGGCCAGCAACCTAAAACCCGGTGGTTGGATCGAGATGCAAGAACTGTATTTCGATCTTTCTAGCGATGACGACAGCATCCCAGAAGCTCATGCATTCTCAAAGTGGCTCACGTTCGTGCGCCAAGGCCTCGAAACCTTTGGCGTCGATCTTCTCAGTCCTGCGAAGACCCAGGACCGACTAAAGGACGCTGGGTTTGAGAATGTGACAGAGCGCATCTTCAAGGTGCCAATCGGCACGTGGCCTAAGAACCAGACACTGGCCAAAGTCGGCCTGTACGGCCAGGCAATGTGCGTGGATGGACTCCAAGGAAATAGTATGAAGACTTTCACAAAAGGATTAGGATGGACGGCAGACGAAGTCGAGGTGTTTTTGGTCGACGTGAGAGACTCATTCAAGGATCGGAAGGTGCATTCCTACCTTACGTTCCGTGTCTGCTACGGACAGAAGCCGGTGGGAGGAGTTTAGTTGGCAGACACTTATTTATTGTTCATATAGTCTCCGTAGATATTGATCGCACGCTAATCTCGGGCGCACCCACAACGCGGGGTTATGCTTACTAAGCTGTTAGCGGGGATGTAATATTTGGACCTTTTGGTGGGGTTGCCACATAGAATCCAGAACACATCCAGAACTCTTCGACGAATCCATACTCCCCATCTACACAATCAATCGACATCATGGCGACTCACGAGCAACTCCCGTCTACCTCCTCCCGGCCTCCACTCGACCCCACCATCACGGGGCCCACAACCAACACGGTCAACATTGGCACCAGAAGGTCGAAGCTTGCGCTCATACAAGCCCAGATTGTGCACGATGCCCTCAAAGCCGCCCACCCCGAGACCGAGTTCAAGATTCACGCCATGGCAACAATGGGCGACAAGAACCAAGTAACTCCGCTGCACAGTTTTGGCGCGAAATCCCTCTGGACGTTCGAGCTTGAGCATGGCCTCCTCGACGGCTCGCTGGATCTCATCGTGCACAGCCTGAAAGATATGCCGACCCAGCTCCCACCACAGTGCAAGATCGGCGCCATCACGAGCCGCGAAAATGCACGAGACGTGGTGGTCATGAAGCCAAGCCTCCCATACAAGAGCATTGCCGAACTTCCCGCCGGATCCGTCGTGGGGACGAGCAGCGTGAGGAGAAGCGCACAGATTGCGAGGAAATTCCCAAGCTTAAAATTCAAGGACGTGAGGGGGAACTTGGGGACGAGACTGGAGAAACTCGACGCCGAAGATGGCGAATACGCCTGTTTGATTTTGGCGGCGGCAGGGTTGGAGCGGGTTGGCCTCGCCGATAGAATCACGCAGCATCTCGATTCGAAGACCCCGGGAGGAGGAATACTTCATGCCGTCGGACAGGGTGCTCTGGGTATTGAGATCCGGAGTGACGACACAAAGACTCAGTCGCTTCTTACGAAGTTAATAGACAATGATGCTCTGCTGGCATGTCTGGCTGAAAGAAGCTTGCTGAGAACCCTGGAAGGTGGTTGCAGTGTACCAATAGGCGTGGAGACTGAATGGATTGAGAAGGGCAAGCTGCTGATGAGGTCAATTGTTGTTAGCTTGGATGGGACGGAGGCCGTAGAAGCGGAGACGCTCGCCGAGGTCCTTTCGGAGAAGGAAGCTGAGGAGTTTGGCTTGGCTGTAGCTCAGGATCTGATTGCCAAGGGTGCGTCCAACATTTTGCAGGCAATCAACCTCACCAAAGATGTAGTCGTGGATGGGCCTGCTGCATAGATTGGTCATTGCAGAGGTGGTTGCTTCTAATTGCCGGGTGTGCGAGGCCGATATGTAGAGACGCGGCGTTTCAGATAGAGCTTTGCTTCAATGTCACCAATACGTCACACACTTTAATGAAAATCAACCCAATTCTAAAGCCGAAAACTCTTTGTATTGTCGACTGTCCAACAGATATACACTAATCTACCCAAGCCATCTCCCTATTTATTCCGATGCCGAAAACTCCTTGTATGCAGCCGCATCCATCAGCCCCTCCAAATCCTTAAGTCCCTGCTCTCCAATCTCAACCTTTGCAATCCATCCGCCGCCAGCGCCAGTATCCTCGGGTGCGTTGTTGATGGTTCCTGGCTTCTCCTCCAGAATGTTGTTGACCTCTGTGATTGTGCAGGTGATCGGGGAGTTGATGTCCGATGCAGACTTGACCGACTCGACGGCTCCGATGGTATCGCCGGCCTCAACCTCCATTGGAAGAGTTGGGAGCTCGACGTAGACAACATCGCCAAGGGCGTGCGCTGCGTAGTCGGAGATTCCCAAGGTTCCAGTCTTTCCATCCTCCGACACATCAACCCATTCGTGCTCGGTAGTGAACTTCTTTGCAGGTGCTAGAATTGTGAGCTTCAATCGACCGACTGTAGGGATCAACTAACCAGCGCTTCGTGCAGAGAATGAGCGGACCGCAAAGTTCTGGGTGCGAACACCGGAGGTGGTGCGAGCAGCAAACCTCGAGGCCACTGGGCGGAGGGATCTCATGATTGAAGCCATTTTGGATGCGTATGAAAAACTACAACGTTGCGATGACGACGATGTGGCGGCAAAATGAGTGAACCGTCGAGCAAGAAGTAAAGATCAATTGATCAGAGTGATGTTTTATTGTATGCGGGGATTGTGTATATAAAAGGCGACTATTCCATGAAATATATCAATATCTCTCCGCCAATGTCGGAGTTCATCCCCGACGGGGCGGATTGGCGCGTCTAATTGGCTTTTGCCGACCAAGTATGACGCGGGTAGGCCCTAAACAAGAACCCGATGGCTGATCGCGAAAGTACCGAGGGGGAAACACTTTAATATGCACGTGTGTCGCGTGTATCGCGTTTACCTTGCCAGCTGAACTTCCGCGTAACAGGAACAGGATTGGGCCAGGCGTTTGTACCGCGACTGTCAACAAAACGAAGCGTAACAACTGTCAAATCACTCGTCACCCAACATCTCACCTCATCATCCTCATGGTCTCCGAATAGAGCCCCTAACACTTCGGTGATAGCCCTAAGACCCTGTGGAACAACACCCAATCACACTCCAACCACTCGCCCGTCAATCTGGATTCATCAACTCTCTCTGCTGGGTCGCCAGCTCAATATCACGACGCCGTTGACACAATGGGCCACGATCTCTACCAAACGGCTCGGGAGCCTCAACAGGCCGAGCAGCAAGACGACTCCATGGGGGGTCTCGAGCAATCACAGACACCAACACCACAGTCCGGCCATGACGTTCGACACCAACAATCCCAGTCTGACCCTTCGGGCCACGAATTTCGCCATCAACAATCTCAATCCGACCCTTCGGCATTCCAGTCATCTTACCAGCCTCAACAACAGCTCTATGAACAGCAGATGAATGCCGACCCTGCTGAACCCCGCTTCCCTGCTCCACAAGCCCCAGCAAACAACATCCCGCGTCCTACTTCTGGCCTCTCTGGCGGGGGTGACCGATATGGTAATATGGGAACCACCTACCAGGAACAAAACTCTCGCGGTTCGTCTACCGCGGCGACAGATACGGGCCGGAACAAGAACAGTGTGGTGATTAAGGTCGGAATGGTTGGGGATGCACAGATTGGCAAGACCTCCCTCATGGTGAAGTATGTCGAAGGCTCCTGGGACGAGGACTACATTCAGACGCTGGGCGTGAACTTCATGGAGAAGACGATTTCAATCCGCAACACAGAGATTACGTTCTCGATTTGGGATTTGGGGGGCCAGCGAGAGTTCGTAAACATGTTGCCCCTGGTGTGTAACGACGCCGTGGCAATTTTGTTCATGTTCGACTTGACAAGGAAGAGCACGCTTAACAGCATCAAAGAGTGGTATCGCCAAGGTCGAGGCTTCAACAAGACGGCAATTCCGTTCTTGGTGGGAACAAAGTACGACCACTTCGTCAACTTCCCCAGAGAAGACCAAGAGGAGATTTCTAACCAGGTTTGTTACCTCCAATACATGTATGTACCCCTATCTAACCGCAGACAGGCCCGTCGTTTTGCAAAAGCGATGCGTGCAAGTCTCATCTTCAGCAGCACAAGCCACAGCATCAATGTTCAGAAGGTAAGTCCACCTTGACACGTCACGATGATCAGCACTAATTGATGCTTAGATCTTCAAAATTGTTCTTTCCAAGGCATTCGATCTGAAGTGCACCATTCCCGAAATCGAGAATATCGGCGAGCCACTCCTCATCTACCAATCAGTCGGTTGAATGACCTGATAAACCGGCGAAGAGACGATTGGATGCGTGAAATGGCCTCATCATGGCTGAAACGACCTGATATACGAAGGGATGAGGAACGAGGAGCATGATTTATGGCTGACTGGCTTTATTGTGACCCTATGGATGCTCTGGAAATAGTTGACAAAAATAGTAAGTCACGGGGATGGATGTAAAACGCGTCTCTCTCTGGGTAACGTTTTTCTGTACTCTACGGCGATCAAGGGTGCATTGTCAATGGAGTTTTAGCTAGTCCAGCAATATAGGGGATAGCTTAGGTTATTGCATGATCCATTGGGATGTAACAGTAATCACAAATCTCAGCGAGAGAATACATCAGTATGTTCCATTGTCTTGCAATCAGTGTGGATTTATAAAGAATGAAACCCCCATTTAGTTTGCCAAAGTTTTCTCCTCATCGATGCCCCTTTCTCGGGTGCAATTATACACGCAGCCTACGACTTGGCCTTTGCTGTTTCTGCCGCGGCACGTATTTTTCTGTTCCTTCTATTCCGAGATTTCTTTGACCTTTTTCTCATCCCCATTGGATTTTCAACTTTGTCAGTCGGCTGCGAAGTAGAAGCCTTGGAGGTTTGGCCTTCCCCTTCGGCATTCGAGCGGCTGGTGGCCGTCGCCGGCTCGTCGGAATGTGTCGCAGTTTCGGGGGCCTTGGGCTCTTCGGACTGCGTCGTACTTTCGGCGGCTGTTTGCTCGTCGGATTGTGTCTTGGTTTCGGAGGTTGCGGCGTCCGGTATACTACAGGAATTCCCAGCGTCCATTTCAATTTCAGGTGCCAACGATACTACCACATGACCCTCATCCATGGTCTCATGTGCGACATGGTATACATCCGACATGTGTTGCTCCGCAGAGATGAAATCACAGTCTGATGACAGCAAATCCTTATCAGGCGTAGGTTGTCCAGCGGCCCTTAAGTCGGCCGATCCAAGGCTGGTTGGAAAGGTCTCTGGGGAGCTCACTTCGATCCAATCATCAGTTACGCTATCGAGGGTTTTCGAGGTGGAGCCAGTAAACTCGGTGGCAGAAGATTCGCCGCGTTGCAACCTGTATGCAGTCTCGGGAGCCATGATATCCTTAACAGCAGGACTGTTGGCACCTTCAAGGGTACCTCCCACGACATCATTGTTCACGTTGTCGAACAGATCAGTGCAACCCTTTGGCAAACGGTCATCGACTATATCTTCTTCCACTATATCCGAACCTCTCGGGACCTCTATGATACTCTTGAACGAGTCATTCGATGGGTCGGTGGACTGTCCCCTCGGAGTATTGGATGAATCTTTGGCCCATTCTGTCGGGATATTCAAAAACTTATCAATGTCAATGAGGTATCTTATCAAAGACTCAGCTCGTCCGAGGGACCTGGGGGCCTTCACGCCATCATCTTGATGTGTTACTTCTGAAGTATAATTTGACACCTGCGCATTGCAGCTATCATGCAGCATCTCTAAGGGGGTAATAGAAAAGCGCCGGAGTATCGTTGTTGGTGTCGATAATGGAGCAAATAATTCCTCGTCATGCATCTGATCACCACATTCCCCAACGTCTGCCTCTCCAGTATTCAACCCACAGTTGCACTCCTCCGCATCTCCGTCATCTTCGTCGACACTGTCAAGTCCTCCTGCAACACCGTCCAATCTAACCATCTGGGTGCCATTGAGCTCCGGCGTCAATGGGCGAGACCGGGGGAAATCTGAAAGCCGATGATGTTGCGGCCTATCCTCGTGCCCATAATAAACGATGACAGACTCGTCGGCCCTGGTATCACTGCGTTCTTGACGAAGGGAAGAGCTCGAGTATATTGATCCCAAGGCGAAAGACTTTACCCCAACATCCGAACGGATAGATGGGCTGAAGTCCTCACTCTTTGCTTCTTCTTTTATTGTGCCAGCCCCCGCTGGCATCTCCAGTATTCCGTCGGTTCCCTTTCCTTTCGACCTGTAGCTCAAGAAATTAGGCGATGGGTATGTAACTGGTGAAACTAGAGCATTCGGACGGGCTGGGTTTGTGGCACTTCTTTGAGGGAGCTTTGAATCGCTCGACCATCCCCTGAGATCTGCCGAGCTGCTCCTCCTGGTGATTGGATTCAAGGCAGAACCTATAGGCGATGATTTCCTCACTGCCAGTTTGCGGGGACCGTAGCCCGGTTGTCGAGGCTTATTATGGGAAGCTACACCTTCGCCTGAGTTTTGCGGGCGTTCCTGGTGGCTGGCATCTTGTAGGAGAGGCTCGTTGACATTCGTTTCTTCTTCTCCGGGGCTGGTAGGTACGGTTTCGATCATATGGCCACTTACAGCCATTGGTCTGAAGAATTCTGGTACCTCCTCAAACAAGTTCGATGTGGAATATCTCATCTGCTGTTGTTGACCAGGCTGTTTGTTGATTTCGGTTTCCCTTCGTTCCAAAAGAATCCTTTCCTCGCGGGCAACAACCTCCCACTCATCCTGCATGAGGGTGCACCTCGAACAAAAAAAAGATTGGACACAGTCCCCACCAGCCGTACCATCGATATTATATGTAGCTCGGATGCGAGAGTGCTGTAACATCACTATAAACCCTGACGATGCCATCAGTACTTCCAAAGGCAGCCGCTCAGACAGGATACTCACAATCAAATCCGACGCAACACATTATCATCCCAAACATCCAACACGGCCCATTGCAAATGTGTCGCCGTGACAAATCCAGAGGGTCCTCCCCTTCGGCCATCTGCTTGAGCCGGTATTGAGTCTTGCCGTAAATAACACATGGCATACAGGAGCCTGTGCACAACGTTGTGATGTCGTGATTCCGTGGCCGGAAGAGCTTTGTTATCCAAGGACCAGGCTTGCGGCGAGCAAACCCATTATAGGCAGTATTGCCCCAGCTTGACACCTGCTGGAAGTATCGCGGGCGGTCAAGGTAGGGCCCAGTCCCAGCGTCAGGGTTTATAGCATTGAGCGGGTATGATAGTGACGGGCGGTGGGTAATGGGAGACAAGAAGTTATCCATCTCCTCAGCCTAATGAGAACAGGACTCCTCCTCGTACTGGCAAGTTGTTTGGTTTCCAACTACCATAGAATAATAAAGATATCGCTTTGAAGCACTAATCAATGAGCAGAATATAATATGTTGATGCATTGTAGTTCGCAAGGAGAATAGTTCGCGACAGCGTGTATTCTGTCTGTCACATATATGGAAGCAACAAGGGTGTTGGATATAAACGGAAGCTGCGACGGAGATGGAAAATATTGGAAGGCAAGTGCGAGGGCGACAAGTAAACATGTCATGCCCATACGTAAATGAATAAAGCTCTAGCAGCGCTTCTAGCGGCCTCTCAAAGCTCTGCAGGGCAAGTACACCCATCGACAAGCATGTAAGAGGGAAACAGAACTTCAGGCGCATCTTTGTTGGCAACCAGCTTTCCAGCACACATGATTCAAATATGAGTTATACAGTATGTACAGGAATAGACCGACGCCAAGTGACAATGCCACAAATCTTCAATGCCCCCGATCGGTCTCCTTGCTTCTGGAGGATGGCCAACTTTATCTATGAGCCACGGCAACCTAACGAGACGATTAGTTCGAAGGTTTGGACACATCGACGGTATCTTTGGACTTCGATGTCTCTGGGGTTCCTTCGGCCTTCTGGCTGACATCGGAGTCTCCGCCAACATCCGTGGAATGCTTGGCATCCGTAGTTGGCTATATAGGTTAGTACATGTTAGACAATGTCTAGATCTGTAAATACCTTCTCGGCAGCCTCAGTGGTATCCTTTCCCTCGTCCTCCGACTTGGAAGCATCAGCGCTCGGCTTCTCCTCCTCGTTGTCGGTGGTGGAAGCCTCGGCCTCGGCCTCGGCCTTTGGCTCCTCTTCCTTGGATTCCTCTTCCTTGGGTGCTTCTTCCTTGGTCTCCTCCTCCTTTGCCTCCTCCTCAGCCTCAGCCTCGGGCTCCGCGTGTGCCTCTACCTTGTGGGGAACGTGAAGGTGGTGGGCTTCGGCGGGAGACTCCTTGAGAAGGTACCAGCAAGCAGGGACGGTGACGGCGACAGCTCCGGCAGCCCTGTAATCCAATTTTGTCAGCCTGCCATTCCCCATGAAGCTCCAATCGTACAGCGAGCAACTTACCATGGCAGGTCGCTGCTAGCCTCTGGCCCATGGCCACTGGAGTATCCGCGTCTGGCCGAGTGGCGCACCAATTGGGCTCTTGCGCCACCAATGGACAGGCGTGCGGAGCGAAGAGCTCCAAAGGCGGATCTTGCGAAAGACATTGTCGGAGAGATTGAAGCAATTGAGCTATTAACAAGTACCTAAAGTAGATATCAGTATTAATTGATTGTCACATGCAAGTTTAGACAGACTTTACTGGATTTGTGCACGTCGTGGACTCGATTGAGCTGTGACGAAGAAAGAGGCCGGGAGGAGGGAACAGAACATAACCGGGCACGGCATCGGAATATTGTAGTTCCTGGCGGGATCACCGCATCCCACGTTGGAGCTCCACTGCCATTTCCCCCCACTACGACATGCTTCAGGTGTCTTCGTTCTCCTACCATATCCCCCCCTCTACACCTTTTTCTACATTTTAACCTCACTTCTTAACTTTGGTGTCGCTCAGGATCTGGTTAGATTTCACCAGACCTACTCGTGAACACAAACACTACTGAGTGTGAGTTTGTTCACAGGGTACGGTTGCGTTGGTCCATTATAGACCAATGCGAAGTTTGGCTGAGGCAACCACTCGCTCACAGCTCCAACTTCAACAGCTGTAACATAACAGCCTCAAGACAAGCTCCATACAAGCTCGACAAGTCCCTGTAGCCTCAATACAGGCTACCATCATGTCGAGCACTATTCCCACAAACCCAAACGCACAGACCGTGGCAGCGTTGTTGCCCAAGCTCCAAGATCCAGACCCGGACTATCGGTACATGTCGCTGAACGATCTGTTCCAAGTCCTCACCATAGGTCGCCCGGATTTCTTATACAATGACTACAACACCGCTGCCAGAGCAGTAGACGGCATCATCAATACGTTAGACGACCAGAATGGCGAAGTCCAGAATCTGGCTATCAAATGGTGAGATCCCCCCACCCGAAACACCCATTCCATCCTAACACTATTGGCAGCCTTGCACCCCTCGTTACTAAAATCCCAAACACGATGCTGGCACCTCTTATCGAAAAGCTCTCCAGCCTCACCACTGAGAATTCCGTTGACAACTCTATCCCAGCCACTGCGCTCCGCATGGTCGTCATTACCCTCCCTCGCCCAGTCCCGGGTGTGGCTCCTACAAAAGAAGTCATTGAAGCATATACTGCAATGAGCCGTGTTCTCATCCCCAGGCTTATTGGACATCTTGTTGTTGCCCCATCCGGGCGTTCGAACCAGCCAGCGCCGCCTGGGATGCTTCAGATCGGCTCCAAGAAGGAGGTGGACGCTGAGGCAGTAGACGTCTTGATCGAAGTTGCCAGGTGCTTTGGTCCCATGTTGCAGCAGCCTGAAGTTGCAGCGTTGCAAGAAGCAATCGTTGGAATAATCGAGAATGAAAAGGCCAGCTCGGTCGTCAAGAAACGGGCCGTCGTGGCCATTTCTATTCTGGCGGTTTACCTTTCGGACAGTTCTCTCAGCGCCTTCATTCAACATCTTATTGAGAGCTTCAGAAATGTGCACATAACTCCCATCCAGCAACGACTATACATCACCATTCTCGGCTCGATGGCTCGGTCGATTCCCCTGCGCTTCGGCCCTTACCTGAAGGGCATTGCTCCATTCGTCCTGTCTACGCTAAGCCAGCAAGAGCTCGATAACCAGCTCGAAGAAGCAGCTGATGATGGTGAGCCAAACCCAGAAGTTGATGATGTGAGGGAGGCCGCGCTTGTGGCTCTCGAAGCATTCATCTCCTCATGTGGCAACGAGATGCGATTGTACACTGAAGAGATAATTTCTTCGGCAATACGCTTTCTCAAATACGACCCCAATTATGTCGATGACGATGAGGATGATGAGGAGATGGGCGGAACACAGTCCAACGATGACGATGACAGCGTTGGCGACGACGATGATTTTGAAGACGATGCCGGATTTGATGACGACGATGATGATGCAAGCTGGAAAGTGCGGCGTTGCGCCTCCAAGGTGCTATACACTCTGATCGGAACGAGAGCTAGTGGAGACCTTCTCGAAGATGGGACATTGTACTCGCAAGTTGCACCCGTGCTGATTAGCCGGTTTAATGAGAGGGAACAGAACGTTCGACTGGAGGTCATTTCGGCCATGGCTCTGCTTATTCGAAAGACAGGAGAAGGCTCGGCCGCTCTTCAGGCTAACGAAGGGAGTCTGGACTACATGTCCCAGCCGACGAGTCGTAAGCGTAGACGAGACAGCTCGATAACCTTTGATACCAAACCTCTGATTACAATGTCAGCTGGGCTTACTTCCCCCATCATCGAGCCTCTCCCTCCATCGGGACCGAGAGCAGACCTGTCCAGGCTCAGCCCAACTTTAGTCAAGGCAGTGGCGAAGCAACTCAAGGGCACTTCTATTCCCACGAAGCAAGCGGTAATCAATCTTCTCGCGAACCTTGTGTCCGTGCAGCATGGTGGCCTTTCAGAGTACTTTTCTCAGCTCGTCGACCCTGTAGTCGATGCCATCAAGGGCACGGGTGCTTCTTCCGCGCCATCCTCGGGCGTAGTCACTACTGGCTCTGCTTCGGCAACAGTCAGCACACTGCGCGTCTCTGCTCTCAAACTCATAAGCGACCTTTGCGAGACACACTCTTCTAGCGTCCTTCAGCCTTTCCTCCCAAAGATCGTTCCGGGGGTTGTGTCTGCCGTCAAGGATCGATACTACAAGATTTCAGCAGAAGCTATCGTGACAGTTGAGCAGCTCGTAAAGGCTTTGACGCCACCTCGGTCACGCATGGTCGGTGCCAAACATCAAACCGATATACAGAATCTCTACGATGTCATAATAAACCGCGTTTCTTCCAACGATGCCGATCTGGAGGTTCGATCCCGCGCTATCCACGCTCTCGGTATCTTGCTGGCGCGCACTACCAGTGGCGATGGTGCCAAGCTTCTCTCCCAGGATGATAGGGATGAGGCTTTACAGCTGCTGAAGGATAGATTGAAGAACGAGACTACCAGGATTGCATCGGTTCGTGCCATCGACACTGTTGCTGCCTTGAGCACTGGCAAGGATCAGCTGAAGCCGGACTGGGTCCGAGAGGTATCCTTGGAGCTAGCAGCCCAGCTTCGAAAGGCCGACCGCTCTCTTCGTGGCGCAAGCTTAGCTGCCCTCAAAAACCTGATCGTCACGCCGGCGGCGAGAAATAGCATGGACCATTCCACCATAAGTGACCTGGTCGCATCTCTCTTGCCTCTGCTGAACACAAACGACCTCCACCTATTGGGTCCTGCTCTGCTTGTCACTGCCTACTTGGTTGAGGATGATGCCAAGACTGTCGTGTCTCCTGGTTTGAACAAGGCTCTTTGTGACCTTCTAATGACGCCTCTAGGAGGAGCCGTCCTCGATGCTTTGCTCGTACTGGTCAAGAATATTGCCGGCAAGGGTTCCGGTCAGCCTCTGATGGGCGGCCTCCTTCAAGAAGTCAGCATAAATGGAGATCCAACTGTCGTTGGCAAAGTCATCGGCACGCTTCTCGTATATGGAGGTCCTTCTGTTGGCGTCACTATAGATATGTTCATCCAAGAGCTTGATGGAAGCTCTGACGATATTCGGAAGAGTCTGGCCCTGTCTGTCCTGGGCGAGGCAACCCTTCGTATGGGGCCAAATTCGCCGTTGAAACCCGAAACTTTCATGTCTCATTTCACATCTGAATACACAAAACTTCCGCTGGCTGCAGCGGTCGCCCTAGGACGTGCCGGGGCTGGAAATACGGCGTTGTATTTGCCTGCCATTCTTAATAAGATGAACGAAGGAGGGAATACGCAGTATCTTTTACTCCATTCTATCAAGGAAATTTTGCTAGAGGCTGGTAGCAATTCTATGGATATTGGTTCTCAGTCAAAGGCCATTTGGGATAGATTAACTCTCGCCTCCCAGGTAGAGGATAACAAAGCAGTTGGCGCCGAGTGCATTGGAAGATTAGCCATTCTCGACCCGAAGCTGTACATGCCAAAGCTGCAGGTATGTACAAGTCATCAACCCATAGTTCTCACACTAACCGTCATTAGGCCTACCTTCAAGATCCTTCCCCATCCATCCGTGCCATGGGTATCCAGGCCATTCGTTACACCTTACCAGATAGCGACGAAACTTTCGATGCCATCTTGAAGCACTCGCTGATTGACATGCTTACGACAATGCTCAACGATACGGAACTCGAGAATAGAAGACTTGCTTTGACAACCCTCAATTCTGCTGCGCACAACAAGTCGGATATACTTCTTCCGCGCCTAGGACAATTGATGCCGCTGGTGTTGAGAGCATCCGTCATACAACCAGAGCTGATTCGAGAAGTCATGATGGGCCCTTTCAAGCACAAGGTGGACGACGGCCTTGAAGTCCGCAAAAGCGCATACGAAACTCTCTATGCGCTTATGGAGACTTCCTTCTCGCGCATCAATATCCTAGACTTTTATGACAGGGTCATCGCTGGGTTAAACGACGAGCATGACATCCGCTCTTTATGTAACTTGATGCTTACGAAGCTGGTTGTATTGGATTCGGAGGAGACCGCCAGGAGGCTCGACTCGATTGCCGAATGTTTCCGAACGATCCTTTCGACCAAGTTGAAGGACAATGCTGTGAAACAGGAGATCGAGAAGCAAGATGAGGCACGCAAAGGGGTTCTACGCGTTAGTCTTCTGTTGCACAATGCCATCCCAGCGGCCTCTTCAAACATGGGCATAGCAACTGGTCAACACCAGACTTGGCGGACATTTTGGGAGTGGGTGGAGAAAGATTATGAGCCACAGCTTCGTCACATCCGTGATGAGGGGCGTGAAACCGGTCCTACTTATTAGCTTTAGCGGCCTATCTACTATGAATTTGATGAGACATGAACTCAACGATAGATACCACAATACAAGATTGGTATGAACAACTGGTGTTGTTTGTTAATTGATGTAGTTCCCGTGATGTGATTTCGTGACAGTATCCTATAAAGGCGAGCTTACTCGAATAAATCGGTCTGTAATGCAACAACCCATCCTACCCACCACGGAAAAATTGATTCAGGTCACCACAAGTTTCAATTCACAGTAAAAATTACTAAGGAGGTAAGTACGTTCCATTAATGTTCATGTAAATACTTTCGGGTGATCCACCTCTTAATGTTCCCTTTGTGGCATCATCCTAGGTTTCAAAAATCAAGACCTTGGGCCTCAATAACAAGAAGTAGCAATCTCCGGGGCTTAGAGTGAGCGAATAACATCAAAGGTCCCAAACACCATGGCTACCCACAATAGTCTCTAGGCGGACGCCTTCAAACCAGGAGGCAAAAACCAGCATGGCAAGATCAAGTTTCTAGCATAACAGTAGCACAGGTTCTGTTTCACGGCACAGGCGATGTCTCCCGCTTACTGATCCCACTCGGCATTCTTCTCTGCTTCGATCCGAGCTCTCTCTTCCTCCTGCTTCTGTTCGCGTTCTCGGATTCTTGCTAACCGATACTCAGGGTCTTGGACAGCATTGACAATCACCTCTTCTTTGGCCTCGTGGACGGTATCAAGCGGAAGCTTTGGAACTATCTGCGCCGAATAGTATCGGTGCGTGTTATCGTCATGGATGCCGGCTGTGTCAATCATACCCGCGGCAACCTGGTCCATTAGTTGACTAAACCGACGATCGTCCCGAGCATTACATCTGTTAGTTTGGGATTCGAGATGCTGCGTAATGGCAGAAGCACTGCGAAATTGGTTGAAACAGAATGGGCACGAGTAGAGGTCGGTAAGGTGCGCGTTCGACTTGAGATGCATGTACAAGGCCTGGCTTGAATTGAGGAGCTTTCTAGACACAGGTATTGGTATTTAAGAAATGGTAGGTGGAAATATAGCTACTTACGAGCAACCAGCGAAAGCACAATTGTACTTTCTGCTGAAAGGATTTCGATGTTTCTCCAAGTTATAACCCGGCTGGTCCGGATCGTACTGATGGTAATATTTTGGAGGTGGCTTCTCGGGGGTCGACTCGCTAGTTTCGGCTGCCAGTTGTGGCCTCTCCAGCTTAAGTCCTTGAAGCGATTTCAGAACATTCAAGGGCTTTGATGGTGCTCCAAGGTCAGGTCCGGCATGTGTAAGCATCGGAGATCGAAGGCTCAACGGCTGGCTTGATGGGTTAGAATTGTCGGTAACAGGGCCTGAGAACTTCGAGGAACGCGCTGGTGGTGGGGAAATCTTTGGTGCTTCCTTCTCCCATGGCATATTCTCAGCGCCTCCGGCTGCAATGTTGAATGGTTTCAGTCCGGCGAGGTTGGACCAGGCGCGCTTGGGAACATTTCTATTCGGTGACATCTCTATCAAATCCTCTTCGGCTTTGCCTTTCGGGGGGAGGTCCATGCCCGTAGGTTTCTTAAGGATGGAAACGTTATCTGTCGAGCCCACGCCAGGCTTTTGAATCGTCAAAGCCGGGAAGTTTCTCTTAAATTCTTGGTACTCAGCCTCCTTGCTTGGGGTTTCGAAATCGGTCATGATGTCCCTCGGCGTAACATGACTTGCAGGGCCAGCGGAAACGTTATCAACTTCAGACTGTACTCGGCTTGCAGGGGCAGCAAAGACTTTGTCAAGTTCAGATTGAACTCGGCGTGCGGGAGCAGCAAAGACTTCGTCTACTTCGGATTGAACTCGGCGTGCGAGAGCAGCGGAAACTTTGCCAACTTCGGATTGAGCTGTGCCTGCAGGAGCTGGAGAAGCTTCAAGGACTTCCAACGGAACACAACTTGCATTGGCAGTATGGACTTTGTCAATGGCATCAGCAGTTGTGGCAGTGTTTTGCTTCTTGGGTACGCCCATCTTCTTGTAATAGTCATCATTGGCGTCTCGAATCCTTTCGAACGCCAGTTTGCGAAACACGGGACATCCATCGATCTCAACATGTTGTACTAAACTCCCGCATCGAGTGAATTCCTTGTGGCAGCCGCTGCAGATCAGACTCTGGTCGGGTGGATGCGCCTGAGGCTGTCAGTATGGTAACAGAGGGGCTCGGTGAGGTCCAAACCTGGCGTTGATGGGTCTGCCTGCCCTCCTCAGACTGAAATTCCTGCCCACAAGTAGCACAAGCGTGTGGATGGTTATCGCTCACGATCATATGTCTGATGTAGGCCTTCCAGTCATCAAACTGCTGGTCACATGGAATGCATACCTCAGATTGCTCTGTGGGACTCGCCATAGCCGTAGAATATTGAGATGAAGATGATCGGGGCAGTTGTGGTGGTGTAGATGGTGGGTATGGTGCAGAATTTTGTGACAAGAGAGGTTGTTAGAGCAGTTGTGGTGATATATAGAGGTTGGGTGCAAGTTCGGAGTATGAAAGAAGTTGAGAGTATAAGAGAAGTTGAGGGTCTGAAAGAAGTTCAGAGTATAAAATAAGTTTAGAGAAATTGAGGGTATAAGAGAAGTTGAGGATATGAAAGAAGTTCAGAGTATAAAAGAAGTTCAGAGTGTTGACAGTTACGTAGATGAACTCATATATAGTTCCAGACAGAGAGAAAAAAGGCTGGTCAAAGCTGTGGTTTTCTACATCTTCCCAATCTTCCCAATCTCCCCGTGTAATAGCCTCCCAAAAACATGGGATGGGCCAAGATATCTGTGTGAACTAACACTGATATATTCTGCTACTACATTAACCTCATGACAGGATTTTAACGTCGACAAGACATTGGGAGAAAGCTCAAAGTTGGAACTACTCAGTCTGGTGTTCAGGTTTAGCCCACAACTAGAGGTCCTGCAATTAGTCAGGGGAGATAGAAAGGCGTTTTCTCGTCAATCGCTAACGTGGCAAAGCCTGCAACTCTCGGATTGTACAGTAAAGAGTCGTTTATCATTGTCTATCATCGTCGCCATCGTCAAAATCATGATATTGGTAGCCTCGTCGTCTGTGCGCGTCGGGGGTTTCGGGAAGAACGATACACCGAGGTCAGTCAGGGTAAGGCTGCGCCTCCTGAGGCTTACTGTACGTCGTGGCTGCCGCCTCACCTCCCCCGTCTCATGTCCACGAGCACGCACTCGTGCCCCAATCAACAAACCCTCGTTCAAATATCCTCATTATGCCGTGTGGTAGTGCTTTTGGTAACAAGATGTGATGGAGGAAATTTCAGCACCATCCACGAGCCCACGATCTCTATCAAATATGGCGGGCGTTCGCAAACTGATCCGGAAGTGCGAGCGATATTGCTGCTTGACCTTCACCTACTTTCCTTTGGCCTTCGTCTACAGCATTACCACCTGGGCAGTATGGGTTGAGGCCACGATAGGTTTCAATCCCTCCCAGAGTGCCTGGATAGGTTAGTTCTTTGAACCCTCAACTACGAAGGATTTAATTGCTGACGCTCGGGCAGGGTCGGGAACTTCATTTCTCGGCATCGCCCTCTACATCCTTCTCAACTGGTCATATACCACCGCCGTCTTCACTTCTCCAGGATCGACTACCGACCTACATAATGGCTATTCCTCACTTCCCACCCAAGCAGCCCCTGCTGCCACCTCCTTCACCGTCAAATCAACGGGTGAGCTTCGCTTTTGTAAGAAGTGCCAGGCACGGAAGCCCGACCGCGCCCATCACTGCTCGACTTGCAACCGCTGCGTACTCAAAATGGACCACCACTGCCCCTGGCTCGCAACTTGCGTTGGGCTAAGGAACTACAAGGCTTTCCTGCTTTTCTTGTCATACACGACAATCTTCTGCTTCGTCTGCTTTGGAGTGAGCGCAACGTGGGTGTGGACCGAGATTTTGCGTGATGGGCAATACGAGGATAACCTAACCCCCATAAATTACATGATGCTTGCTGTTATTTCAGGAATGATTGGGCTTGTTCTTGCATTTTTCACTGGCTGGCACATCATGCTCGCGAGTCGCGGACAAACCACCATTGAGTGCCTTGAAAAGACCCGGTATCTGTCGCCCGTTCGACGCGCGATGCAACACCAACATATTGCACAACACCGCTCCCATGAGCCGCCGAGCTACGGACAGCAGCTGCGCGATATACACACCAACGCCCTACCGGGCGTGACTCGGCCTGAAGAGGGCGCCACGCCTCCTGCGGAACCACGGTATAGAACGTATGAGGACCTCGAGCGTCAGCGGGCTCGAGATAGGTATCAAGAATACCTCGATGAGCAAGACTCAGAAAAGCTCCCCAACGCCTTTGACCTCGGCTGGCGGCGCAACTTGTATGTTTTGTTCGGGCCAAAGAAATTGCTCTGGTTCGTACCAATCTGCAACAGCATTGGTGATGGCTGGAGCTGGGAACCGTCTCCAAAATGGATTGCGATGCGAGAATACATGCGCAAAGAGCGTGACGAGCAGTTAGAGCGGGAACGGAATGCCGGATGGGGGACGGCGAGTGGGGGTTGGGAGGGGGAACCAGAGCCCGTGCAGATCACGAGGCACTATCTCAACGCGCCGTCTCCGACAACACCTTCGGGGCAGCGCAGCCCTAGCAAAGCCGACAGAGTGTTGGGCAGAGACCCCGGTAGTTATCTCGAGGAGCCCAATGATGGGCATAATATACGGATGGAGAGCCTAAGCCGAAACAGAATTGGCAAGGAAGAAGACGACGATGATTATGATACGAGTAGCGATGAAATGGAGACGCCGCGGCCAGGCCTAGTGCAGCACTTTAGTGGTTTCGGCGCGCAGCGGACATTCGGAGGGATGAAGATGGGTCTTGGCCAGGCACAGAAGCCAGAGGGAGACGAGGAGGATGGAGATAGTGTGGACTGAAAAATATGATGGAGTGTTGGATTTGTATTGATACTGCATGCCAGAAGGGCATTTATGACGTTTCATGAGCGCGATCTATCTGAGCGTTGCAGAGGCTTCTGGAGTTAAATCGGCATGGGCATTTGTAAAAGGCGGATTTCTGTATTTTGTACATTTATAGGGACGTTCTATCTAGAAACCCTCTAGCGTGAGCCAAGAGCCAGAGGCATTTAAGTCCATCGCCAATATTTGATTTTCGACTAAATGTATAAAATGGACATAAGGTTTATTTACAGATTCCCGAAAGAATATTGTGAAACGTTCAAATTACAAATACCTAATATTTTTTTATTTTTGTCAACTGAAATATTTTTGCTAAGGATAAATTCGCGTTGTTCAGAGCCTCAGCGAGGCTACAATGTTTCACGCAATTCACACATCTCACATTCACATCCAAGGTTTGCGGTGGCAGCCGTTGAGGCACCTATATTCCACCTGCACTACAGTCTATATCTATGATGGCCCCATCCGGCCGAATCCATCGCAGTGTCAGGTATTTCCGCCCAACGCTAGGACATAATGCCCAGCTCATCCGCCTATCCCACCTCCATCCCTCCCCACTGGTGTGTATAGACGCCGCCTCCAGCGACTCGGCGTTCTATCCGCCTATCTCCGGAGCAGAAACCGTACTGCGATGCTCTGCATGCCTTACTTCCCGCCCACCCGAGTAAAAAACAAGTAAAAAAAGAACTCCGACGCAATGCTATCACCGGGCCATGCTGAAAGATGCACAAAGTTCGCCAGTCGCAGCTGTGCTGTCGCACTGGACGAGGAGACTCCGACGTGTCGTCAGGTCTGTAGTGTATTATAATCTTATAATGAAAGGTTGATTTCTATTTCGACTTTTGTTTTCATCGAAAACAAATTTGGCTGACCCGCTTGGGCGAGTTCAGCACAGAGAGAATGAATCAGGCCAACGGATGGAAGGTCGGCTGAGGAAGTGAAGGATAGTGTTGGTAAACCGGATTAGCAGCGTATTCCGGCACCACCCCCGAACGATAGTCATTTCGCTTGCCCAAAGGCTGATAGTGCATCTGATCGATGCCAGGCTGGAAATGCTGGTAACTGGACTGGGGTGGTGGGTAGAGAAGCGTATTCGGAAGTCGAATCGGCTTGTATGGCGAGTTTCGCTGCTGGAGGAAGATCGAAGGAGAGTTGAGGTCGTGTACAGCGGCGGGGAAGATGCCAGAGATCGGCGACGAGTTCATGGAATGCACACCAATCGACCGAGGGCTGTGTCGCCTTGAGGGAGTGCCGTGATTTGAGCCAGGCAGGCTGTAGGCTTGCTGAGCCTGTGGCGGCATACCCGAAGAAGGGACATTTACCTGTGGGGTAGGAGCCCAGCTTGGCGTCGCAGGAAAGACTTGCGACATTGCACGCCCATTCAGCGGAGGCAAAGGAGGAAGCGTTTGTGCGAATGTTGGGTAACCCGCACCAGTGCTTGTCGAAATCGACAACTGTGGCACTGGCAGCCTTGGTGCCTGCTGACGTGGGACAGCAACCTGTGAATTCGGGACCATGACGGCAGGAATGTGGGCGGCAGAAATGGTCGCAGGCCTCTTGGATGGGGGCTCAACCCACAAGTCGTCAAAGGCTCGCTTTTTCGTGGCCTGTGGTGGTTGCGGAAGTGGTTGTGATGAGGTGTATTGAGATGGCCATTGCTGGTTCAACTCAAACGACGAGTTTGATAGATGTGTAGATGAAATAGGAGAATGCGATTGTACTCGTGTTGGTGAGGGTAGCTTGGACGATGGGAACGTATTGCTGACCGGCGACGGCAATGGTAGTGGCAGCTTTGACGCCCGTTCGAAGTAGTCTCCGAACTTGCCCAGCTTTATCTGCCACTCCGCCCATTGTTCCTTGGAGGCCAGCAGGCTGTATCGCATGCTGCCCAGAAACTCGACCTCCATCACATGGATTTCAACCACCGAGATCCCAGACACCTCAGCCCACGTCTTGTTCGTATAGGTGTTGTCGTCGAGGACTGGTAGACTGTTAGTTCGATCTACTTTCTGTCGAGATGTGCGAACTTACATTTATTCCCCAGCATCAACGCCACGGTCAGGAGCCTGTATTCGCTGCCTGCCTTGCCTTTCACGGTTGGGTTTAGCGTCTTCAGTCGATATATGAACATGAGTGCCAGGAGGATGACATTCGGTGTAACCTGTGTAGTCGATAATATCGTGAGGACCCATTTTCTGAACGTGGCCGTGGGTATGGCATCAGGAGCAATCCTTTCGACTGGTGAAGAGCTTGGCGTCCAGTTCTCAGCCTTTCGAAGAGTCTCGGTGGTCTCAAACCAGAAGAGGCAGGTTAACTATCACGCTATTAGCACGTCTATCGTATGTAGTGGTGGCTGTTCCATACCTGTGCTGCAAGCTCCCCAATACTACTTCCATTCACAGGTGGAGTTGCTTGCACGCTCGAGTGGATCGATTCCTTGCGAGGAACAACCTCCTGTACTCTCTCCTCGATCCCATTTGTGACTCCATTATGTGACCGGTCGTCATACAGTTGAGACGCCGAGCTGCTGGCCGAGCTTCCCAGCCTGAGTGTTTCCGCCGCTCGAGATGCGAAGTTGTATGGGTAGGCCAGTGCGGACGCTGATGTCTGGTATGATGCTATCGAAGGGAAGTTAATGCCCTGTCGAACCCCGTTGGTAGTGCTCTGCTGCGGCTGGTGCACACTCATGTCGTCGGCAGGCGGGGTGGGCAGCCTGCCGCGTGTCGAGATGGCTGGTATGTTTGATGCGTACTGTAGCCAACGTTCACGGTCTGCCACAGACGGACCTAAGCCAGCTGATCGACAGGTTGAGTCGGGGGTGGCGTAGCGATGGACGGGGGCGTTCGTGGGAGGGAGGAGAGATCGTGGCCAGCCAGTCTGAGTGTATGTTGAGGGGTAGTGTGAGTTGTAGAGGTTTCGTGACGGCGGAAGGAAATCGAGGCCAGTCGAGGATGCTGAAGCTTGATGCATGGAGGCTGTTCGTTTGTCTGGCGAAGCGTCCTAATCCAGAGGGAGAGCTGGGTCGAAGCTGCTCTGCTCAGTTGAATGATAGATCGCAGGTAGCCAGCCCCATATGATTCAACGGCAATAGATCCTAGCGAGAAGTCCCATCTGATGCAGACTCAAGCTGGTGAAGAGGCCATATGCTGGATGTGAAGAGTGTTGCTTGTGAGATTGTGAGATGAGAGTAGTCGCGGGGGGGAAAAGTGAGATCTGGTTGTTAATGGGCGGTGGAATTGGTCGAAGTGAATAGGCTATTCGAGAAGGACAGACGATAATATAAGGAAACCAGATTTATTATTGTAGGTGGAGAATGAAGTTGAGGTGGGGGGGGCGTTGAAGTTGGTGTTGTTGGTTGGGGGGGTGGTGGTTTGTCTGTTTGGAGGATAGAGTGGATGGATAAGTGAACATATGAGTTGAGGTCCAAACAGTTCGTTCGGTTATCTCTGGTACTCTCTTATACACTCTTATACACTCTTACTCTTCTCTCTTTCTCAATAACCCAGTAAGCAGCAACCCCGTAAAGTAAACCTAGTAACTAAATCCTCAGTTAGCCAGCAAGCTATAGAATAGTACAATTACAATAGCCAATACACAATACTCAATACAGTACAAAGCCAACAGGCGCGTTGAGGAAACAGTGGTAACCAGAAAGTAAGTGGCTATAAGTACAAGGGTACATACATACAATTTAAATGTAAGAGTTAGACCTCCAAGGGGTGGTGGCTGCTGATCTGAAAGACGTGGGATTTAAATCCCCCCCAAAAAATGAGCACGGATCTATGTATGCTATGTATTCTATGTATTCCATGTATTCTATGAAATGCTCTCTCTGTTATGTATTTATTCTATATACGGCATCTATGCCGTGAAGAGGAAGGTATAAAGGCGGCCGGGTTTGAGCTGGATGCGGAAGTGATAATAATGGATAGATACGCCCTACGCCAACACCGTGGCGCGGCAACAATCACCCAGAATGTTCTCGGAATTCACGTCAGAAATGATAATAATACTATATAAATTACTATAAATACCATAAAGGAAATGTATTGCTTATGGAGATGCAAACGTTGTAGTACTGTCCTGTCCTGCAATTAGCAACTTAGCACTCAGAACATGGCCCCGTCTTCTCGTCTCCTCCTCCTGTATCCCCCCGGCGACAAAAAAGACAAAAGGACACAAGCCGCGCTTGGTTCAAAAGGTGCTAACTTCTGCACGCACTCCACAAAAATCAGTTTGGATACTCGTTCAAAATGTACAGGGTACTGGAGAGTATGGAGACACAGAGTGGCATGGGGGCGGTGCCTGCTCAAAACTGGTCCTGTACCACTACTGGATAGAAGAGTACCCGTAACATCTCCATCATCTCCATAGCAGATACATCCTTTGCAGCCTTTGCAAGAGTGATGGTGGTGGTGGTAATACTGTGATGCACCGCGGCCGGCCGGTGGAGTCGTCGCTGGAGGGGGTACGGGGGGTGACTGAACAAGCTCCAAAGAAAGCCTCCCTCCATCTCGTTGGTCCATTCTATCTATTCTCCGCTGGTCGGTGTCTGGTCACTGGTGGTGTGAGAGTCTGAACAAGGGATAGCCTGGTAGTTGGTTAGTGGTGGTGGTGGTGGTGGGGGAAGTTGGTTGGTCCTTGGTCCGAAGTAGAGAGTCAAACCACACCCACCAAAGACAGCCGATACAGCCAATTGCTCTCTATTCCTGGTCACGAATGGGGGGCTAATTGTTCTCTTTTTCTGTCATTAATTCCCAGGGTTCCATCGCTTCTCAGAATTCCCTTCACGAAGTGTACGGAGCTACCTTCGTGATCTCCTTTTTGCGACCATTCTTGCGAGAGCCTGACCTCCTAGCGTCGTCTTGGATGGTATGGGGCCATGGGCCATAACTCGTACTGTGGTAGTTTGTCCACACTTTCCGTCCTCTCCGTACGCTCCCTCCTTGCGTACATGGGGGTATCGTATCGGTCATGGCAAGGAGGAAAGTGGAGGCTGATCTCTTGCGCTTTCAAGACCAGGAGCATGGAGTCGTCAATAAAAAACCCCGCGTGCAAATGGAAACCCCTGCATTCTCCTCCGTCCCAAGCCATACAGAGCCATGCACAGCTGTATGGCTCCATGCTTTTAGCCCAGACAACATCATTACGCGACTCCATATGTTTCTCCTCACTCTTTGGCTGATGTCACTGGCCACGCCAGGTCACCATCAGGCTCCGG